AGAGTCCGAGCGCCCGCTGAAAGTTCGGTCAGCGCTTGCTAAAAGAGATTATTTGACGAGCGCCTGCAGAAAATTCCGTGTTGCTGCCCGCTGGCAGAACATTAGACGGTAAAGGAAGTACCGCTCGCTGAAGGTTGGGCCACGCCCCAAAATTCTGCTAACCGCTTGCAGAAAAGCGCCAGTTTGCAGACCGCCTGCCCCCGGCGATTATCTGAGTTTATGGCCACAAAAATAAATATCCTTGTTTTTCGTCTCAATAACGATATCCAGCTTGACTCGGTGCCAGCTGTGCCGAGCCCTGCTCATAAAGGAGGCTCACGAAGAAAGGCGGCCGATCAGCACGAGATGCATGCCATTCTAGAGAGCTTGGAACGATAATTTTTTTTCTTAGCTGCTGATCTTGAGAAGGGAGTTACTCAGATAATCGCCGAGGGCAGGCGTCCGCAAACTCGCGCTTTTCTGCAAGCGGTCAGCAGATTTTTGAGGCGTGGCCGAACCTTCAGCGAGCGGTACTTCCTTTATTGTCTAATGTTCTGCCAGCGGGCAGCAACACAGAATTTTCTGCAGGCGCTCGTTAAATCTCTTGCAAGTGCTGACCGAACTTTCAGCAGGCGCTCGGACTCTTTTTAAGCAACTTCGGGCATACGCCGAGCAAAGGTGAGACTCTATGTGGCAGAGTTGGCACCGGTGATTTAATTACCCGAGTTTGGGGTACTTTCTCTCAGCGGAAAGTACCTGGGGACCGCGCGGTCCTCCACAAGGGGCCGTGCGGTCCTCATTAATTTGCATATTGAGGATTATTATTACTCTCAGGATCATTATTCGTCTCACGCACGCGAGCTGAGCGGTTGTTTCGATATTGCTCTCTACAATACCGCTCATAATTCGTCAAAAAAGTCGCCGGACTGCGGCGCACTCCACCACACTCCGCCACAGTGCGCCGGAGTGTGGCAGAGTCAACTGATTAGTTTTTTTTGATGTGATTTTGATTTTTTGATGCCTTTATGGAAGGAATGTCTGTGGTCCTCACTACCTGACCTCTGTAGACCACGAAGACCTTACCGCCATCGGGTTCTTTATTGTTTAAGTCACGCGCCTGCTGACGGAGGGCCCGGTCGTGATCTCTCTCCTCGCGGGTCGTCGACCTGCGGATGAATATCTGATCACAACCGGGCAACCTCCGCAGCAGGGGAGCCTTTTTGAGGGCACTATAACAAAACTGCTGAGATGAGAAGACACATT